TCTTTACTTTGTTAGTCAAGTAGAGTAAAATTGCTTTCTTAAAAAGAAGTAGCAAGATATATCATGTACATATATTTATATATATATTACATTTATATATATAATGTACCAATAAAGATATGTAAATATATATAATGTACCAATAAAAACTTAGGCATCACAAAAAGTAATACCAATGAACAAGACAAAATGGGAATAAAAGACTATTAACAAATGTACTATATGCATATGCCTAAGGACTTTCAGCTGGCTTCTGTTTGTGATGAAAGTTAGCTAAATATGAAAGCTCATATAATTCATGTGTAGTCAAAATAAAGTCCAAGCCTGGACAAACCAGTTCTATAATAACCGAACCAAATACTAGACATTGCCTTCTTGGTCATAAATGCGAACACTGAAATATGGTATATAGGAAACACTTGTAAGTGTTTTGCAAACACTTGTAAGATTTTCCCTTACAAAATGGAAAATTACATGAAAACAATGGATTAAATTCTTCTATAAAATTACAGACTCTGAGAAGCTAAGGTGGAGATCTGGGTTCTGGTAAGTACTTCTGTGAAACCATTGATGATTTTAATTTCATAAGGTCTTTGCTGCTCTACAAAGCATAAATGTTAGACTTGAGGCCCTTTAAGCTCTTTTCTAGTTTCAAAATTCTAATATTTTGCAGGTATTTTCTCTTATTCTGTTAGTCAGATTCTCCAGTGGTGAAGAGTTCTCTCCTCTTGCTGACTGCTAGCATCACTTTTCATAAGGTCGAATAATTCTGCAATAGTTAGGATATTTTTATCTACTGAGCACTAGCCTTTAGAAGCTTTTAAGACAGTGGTTTACTAGAGATGCAGAACACATAAAAATTGAGGTAGAAAGGAGTGCTGTTATCAGAAATGCTCAAAAACAGACATAGAAATCTGAAGCAGGCAATCTGAGTACCTAATGTATGCTGAAGAGTGTAGGGAAGACTCTCAATCAAGGAATGCTCCTTTCACAAGTATGATCCCAATTGCTGAGAACTCAAACATGCTTTTAATTCAAATAATCTCAGTGGTGAATTAGTATATTGTATCTTTTACAGGGAAATGAGAACCCTTGACCATGAATAAAAAGAGAAAAAGAAATCAGAACAAAGTTCTTTGTGGTTGACTTCCAGAGGTAGGAGGCACTCTACCTGGATGATAACAGACTCCTACCCCTTTTTAAAATTTTGAACTTTCCAGCCTAATAAGAATACTGGGAGACACAGAAAATGCATGTTCTTCCTGGAAAAAACGAGGGAAGAAGCCATTATACCCAAAGAGAGCATCTGAAAGAAATTTACACTAAAGCAAACTCCAGGTAGTTGCCTGCCAGGAAGAATTCTGCTGCTTTGGTCATATAAACCATGGCCCTTCACCTGCTACAACTGACAAAATACACTCAATGGTATGCATGAGTTTGCACATATTACGCAAGGAAATTATTTTATGTTTGCTCAGCCACTAACCATACTTAAAAGGCAATATCTCTTTTTCTTGTGTGATATTATTCATACATTTTTCTTTCTATACACAAAGGTTAAGAAAATCTTTGAATTCTCATACTCTCAGGTAAGAGAATATTATGAACCTTGTTTTATAATAACTTAAATTCTCTGAGAGGTTACTTTGGCACTGGGGGTGAAAAAGACACATGTTGCTTTTTATGTCTGAAAGTATAATTGAATCTACTTACATCAAGTTGAAGAATGCTTTGGATCAATCGCATTGTCAGTAGAAAATTAAAAATGATTTCCTAATGCCTATGTAGCATGTTAAAGATTGATAGTATGTGGCATCCATATCAAAGTGACATGCAACCAGGCACTTAGATATGTATAGGACACAGCACTAAAATGAGTAAGTTTAGATAATGCCTGTGGCTAAGCCCTCTGCCTTGGACTGTTTTGAATTGCTCTAACAAAATACCATGGGCTCAGCAATAAACATAAATTCATTTTTCACAGTTCTAGATGTGAGAAAGTAGAAGACAGAGGAAAAGAGAGAGCAAACCTACTACCTCCAGGCCATTTTTATGGCAGTATTAACGCTTTGGAAAGGACAGAATCCTCATAATAGGAACACCTCCTTCCAATATTCTTGCACTGGGTAAGGTACTTCCTGGCATTTGGATACACAATTTCAAACCAAAATATCCTCTGAATTGTAAATAGAGTGGGCTACTCATTTAGATAATCTAGAAAAGTAGCCTTAGAAAATCGCTACTCAAAAATTGTGATGCAGTTCTTTTTGATAATCTAGATTTAATATCATCATAGCCAAATCACTTGTCAGTTGTTCATATATTTAATGTAAAAAGTACACATAAGTGATATTATTTTAAGAACTCCAAAATCTTTGAATAACTACCATTAAGTATAAAGAGAAGTAAAACATTTCAAAATATATTTTTTCATTTATTTTGATCATTTTGGAAATTTCAGACACAGTACAGCACATTGCACATAGAGCACAACAATGCGATTAGTCTATAAATAAAGGCTGCAGGATATACTCAGCTTTACATCTCTGTAAACTTTACACATACAAATAAAGCTGTGAATGACCCCACAGTGCTTTCTTTTATAATTTAAGGAAATTCAGAAAAAACCTGAAACCAGTAACTGAAGTATCTTTGCTTTTCAACCTTCATTAACAGGCTCCATTAATAATCTCAAATCAAATTCACCTGTAATACAAAGTTTCACTACATCAAAAAGCAGGTATGGAATCTTTATAGACCAGCCCAGGATACACTTCAAATCAGATAATATTAGAAGAGAACAATGTATTTTGTATTGAAAAGTTTTAACAGAATGCACAAATGCACAAAGCAGAATATCTCCTGATATAACTAATTTCCCAAGTCTCTCCACCACAGAAGTTTTACAGGACTCGGCACTTCAGTCTCTAACTTACACCATGATATTGAAATTATCTGCGATAGCACTTGATTTACCTTTCTTTTTATTTTTTTTTTCTTATACTTTTTTTTTTTTTTTTTTTGGTACCGGGAATTGAACTCAAGATGTTGAGTTTGCTAGGCAGACACTGCGTCCCTGGCAGCACTTATTTTAAATTAAATTTTGTCCATTGTTTTCTTTTTTTTTTTTTTTAATTTTATTTAAGGAGAAAAGAAAAAAAAGCAGGGAAAGGGTACAAGTTATACAGATTTACAGAAAAAAAAATGAACAGTAGGAAATCACTAGTTAATGGATTACATATTGTCATCTTAGAAATAATTGTTCAAGTCACAAAATTAAAGCTTGTAAAGTGGACATTCCATCAATGATACTGCAAACAGTTCTGTTCATTGATCCAATAAAACTCTGTGATATATACTCTTTATTAATTCTTAAATTATATTTTATACATATATGTGAATAAGAGAAAGGAAAAGCTACCTTTACACAGTAAAATACACATATTGCTTAGAAAAAAACTAACTAAAAGTGCTAGAGAAAAAGAAAAACAAATATGCTATCCATATACATTCCAAGGGTCAATAAGATGTAAATCTTACCCATTTTCCAACATAGAGATGATAAAGGAAGGGGAAAGAGATCTGTTTATTCTGTGATTTATTTCAATTTCTGAACACAGACAGGTAATGCACAAATACAACATAAGATAGGTTATTCAGCTGGTCATCAAACATTCATACACATTTTATACCAAGTCATTATTTGAAAAATGCTAGCAATTTAGAAGCTTCTCATATGCTTTTCCATGGAAAAACGTTAGAGCCAAAGTATACACTCTAATCATGTACATGATAATTTTTGGTCCATAAAACACATATAAAAAGTTACTCCTATAGAATTTTGTTAAATGAGCCTTTTATTTTATTTTACTTTGGTAATTTCATCAAATAATTTTTATTAATATTTCAATTTTAAAATGTTTATAAAAGCATATAATACAGTACTTCAAAAATATTTTAGGAAATATACTGACAAAAAATAAGATTCTTACATTCTTAAACTGGTATAATGAGTATTAAAGAGACACAAAATGCAAACTTAGTGGGTAATAGATTCTTACAAAGAGGAATGTTTACAGTCATCTGTTACTTTTAAATATGCTTTATAAGTGTAGCTTATTAACATTTTTATTATATTTTCCTAATAGAAAACTGAATAGTTCAATTTATGGGTTTTCTTGATGATGCATCATTTGTAGTTTCACAAAAATGTGACTAAAAAAAAAAATATATATATATATATAATTATCAAATATGTTTTAAAAATATGCCTTGGCCAGAGTTTTATTTATAAATGTGTTACATAATTTACAAGAGTCGACAACTACAGCTTTTTTCAATAAATATGAATTTTCTTTTTTATGAAAAATCTTTTCTTGCTCAAAATATTGAAATATGTGATCCACTTTGAATTTGTTTCCACAACAAGCTGAAACTTTAGATGCCTAGTCAAGCCAATGTCAACAAAGCCAATCCCTTCAAGGGCAAAGGTATCTGATTAAGTAAGACCTGTAAAATAAACTGTTCTCCACAGTAAATAAGCTCTTCCGAGCCCCCATTTCCTGCCTTTAGAAAGTGGTTATATTAATTACAAGGGTTTTTGCTGGTAAAACAGAGAGTTAGCAACATTTGATTACAAATAAAAATTCCACAAGTAAAGACAAAAATCAGTAAGTATTCTGTCAATGCTGAAAGAGGTCTAACATGAAATACAATTGGTCATCCCATTTCTCCATCATTACTCTGCTGAATAAAAGGTTTTTCCTACTTTACACTGAACCTGTAATTCTATTTTGGCCACGTTGTTGCACACAACAGGGACATCATGCTTCTGATGCAAAAGCAATCCCAACCTCATCTCTCTACCTATAAAGCATACCTTGAGCACGGCGGGGGCAAAGGCATGTACACACACACACACTCACACACACACACACAAACTGTTATCAATACTGCTTAAATTCCTGGGCGAAAACATTTCGGAGGCTGCTGGTGCTTACCTTGCAAAGACGTGTTAGGTGAACTTGCTTCATTCTCTCCCATTTTATTTCTTTAAAAGGGTTCCAAGCAGTTTCAAGTTGTGTCAGTTACCCCGCAAGCTTTGTGACCTTCTGACTTTCTACTGTAGTACTGTAACAGTATACTCCCTGTTTTCTTCAGTGAATAATTACCATTCTGCTTCCTGAGTTACCTAGGCTTCTTGCAGGACCTGTTTTACTATGAAGTGAGATCACATCCTTTGATCCAATGTGCTACTGTTAATGTGTGCTTCACAAACATGGCTTTGTTTCAGTTTTGATATAAGCGTTTAATTCCGTGCTTTCACGTTAGTCCATAAAGACATTTACACGCTTCCCTAAAGTGTCAATGTTAACAACATATCATGCTTCGGAGCCACAGTTTTGTTGCTTCATGTTTTGGTGTCTAAAATCTGCTTCTCTTGGAGAGTAAATTAAAATTTAAGTAAATTAAATTTTAAAAAAATAAGGAAACAAGGAACATAATGGAAGTCTATCTGAGGCACTTGATGAAAACAGGCTTTTAAGCATCTGTAATACTTGTGTGACTGTAAGCACAGAATATAACTTATTTGAGAATACATTTCTAATATTCTATAAAAGGTCATGGTATCTATTTCGAAGTTGTGCAAAGAATAAAAACAGTAATGTGTGAAACCACTAATCACACTGAATGACAAATACAAGAGACATTTTTATCTTCTCTTTTTCTCTTTCCTCTTCTCTTCATTAGCCTGTCCTTCCTCAGATAAGGAGAAAAGATGTGAAATTGGAGGACTGACGTAACTGATTATGTTCTCATGTAATTTACGCTACATAGTAACAAAACTTTACAGTGATTATTCAGTCATGTAATGCCTCAAGGTCCTCATTTGTGTACAGATAACACTGATATTTGCATTGTTGTTTTAATAGGAACATGGTGATTACTAAATTAGATTAACTGCTATGCCTCAAAGACTAATCTGCGGCAGAGATGAGTCATCAACTGTAGTTCTGTCTTTAAATAATCATTTTTTAAGTGACAGAAGAGTGAGATCACAAAATTACTGCAATATGTAATCCAGATTGTGATGTGTTTCAGAATACAGCGCTCCTCCGCCTACTACAGTTGCTTACAACAGATATACAACCATTACATGCATTTTTACCAAAAGTTTCTGAAATTTAATGACTACCAATAAAACACTATAATCATCATACTCCAACTGTCCCTAAGAAGAGCAACATGTATATGTCAATCCTTGTTCACTATGGCAAACTTGTAAATACACTTAAACACCTGACCCAGGTACCTAAAATAAGTAACAATAATAAAGGAAACATGATTAATGAGCTTAATTATGAATTACAGGGTATGAGACATTATAATGAAAGTAAGATACCAAAGTCCTATTGCTGAGTAAAGAAAAAATCTTAAAAGTTACAGATACCTGAAACAGCATGAATTTTTATAGCTGCACAGAAAAAAACGTGCTTTCAGTTATCCACACCCAGTTGCAATGTTAATAAAGTATTATGCAAATCATTCTCTGTCTCTCTGTCTCTGTCTCTGTCTCTGTCTCTGTCTATCTCTGTCTCTCTGTTTCTCTCTCTCTCTCTCTCTCTCTCTCTCTCTCTCTCTCTCTCTCTCTCTCTCTCTCTCTCTGTCTCAGCCTGGGCACTTTACGTTTTTCAGGAAGCTTTAAAAAAATAGGATGGAAAGTTTTTGCTTCACAGAATACTGAGGAGGAAACTCGCATGATTATAAAAAATCAAGAAAATATTCTGAATCTTGAAAGGCTCAGAATGAATGAGTCCTCTATATGTATTCTAAATCATTTGTGTCAAAATTTGTGAATGTACTTTTTGAGAAAAAATGCAGTACATAATGATTACAATAATTCATTAAGAAGCATTGATTACGAATGTAACATATCTTAACTTTTTTTATATCTCCCTGCTTTCCCCCCTCACACTATCTTTTGTTCCCTTTCTTATTTGCAAAAGATCTGTCTCTCTATTTCCTAACACTTGTTTTTTATTTTGATCTTTAAATTATTACATTGTGTATTTCTCATAGAAGAAAAACCATGCAACATTTATGCTTCTGGATCTGGCTTATTTCACTTAACACTGGGGTGTCAAGATACAGTTCATTCTAGAGTGATACTCCTAAAACACATCAATCATACCCACCATTCATACCATTTCCATATTCATATACTCTCATTAGTCTCACAACCTACCCAACAATGTTAACATGCCATCACCACAATTTTTATTAGTGACTGTTAACCCTACATTAACATTATAGCTCATTTAATTGCTCTGTTAAGGATACTTTGATGTCTTTAAGCCCTTGACAGTATAATTCTAAATAGCTGAGATATAACATGTACATATTCATATATACTTTTCTATACATATGAATACAAAAAAGGTAATCAAAATTTAAGGCCCACATAGTTACCCATTTTAAGATTGACTGGTAGAAAAGAATCATTTTTATATTATATGTATATTTGGGAGGGACAAGGGATCGAACTCACAACCTCGTGCTTGCAGGCAGGTGCTTATGCCACTGAGTTAAATCGCCAGCCCCAACAAAAGTATATTTTGTATTTTACTAACTAAATTATTGATTTTCTATCAGTTTTTTTTTCGTTAAATTGCATTCAGAATAAAAATAACAAAGTAAGTAACTCTAAGTTTGAATATTATAACAAGATAAGTAATAATTAGTGGCAAGTAAAAGCTTTATTATTTTATTTTATTTTATTTTATACATGTCTTTTGAGACAGGTTCTCCCTCTGTAATTCACTTTGGTCCTGGTTCCAGGTATAACAGCAGAGTGAGATCACAGAGTGGGGCAGACATTAAATAGAGGGAGAAAGTAGGGAGCCAAAGGCAAGAAAAGTGTAAGGTAGATATAAACCAGTGTATGTTGGCTGTAATTGTTAATGTGGATGGCCTCAGTTCAGTGATTAAAAGAAACACAGGCAGAATGGATCAAGGAACAAGATCCATCAATATATAGTATACAAGAAACACATTAACTCAAAAGGAATTTGTAGACTGAAAGTCAAAGAAGAGAAAACAATGCTCCATGTGACCAGGAACCAGAAAATAGCACGGGTAGATTGCTCAAAAACCACAGAATGGATAAGAGAAACTTGGCATTTTTATACAATGGAAAGCTACTTGGCTATAAAGAGGGATATTCACAAGGCTCTTTTAGATAAATGGATACAATTTGTGGTCATTCTCTGGGATGAAATGTTTTGGACTCACATAGGTGAACATCATGTTGTCTCCCTAAGTATAAAAATCTGAAGGAATTATTAGGATACAAAATGTACAAAAGATATTGTGAAAGTAGAAGAGGAGGAAATGTCTAAAAAGGGAAGGTGGTAGCCATTGTTAATCCCCCATTACCTTGTTTTGAAATCCTGTATCACTTTCACTGTTTTGTTTTGATTGGTTTCCTTCTGTTTTGCTTGGTTTGATTTTAATATTTCTGATGGTATGGATGGCTACTTCGAAGATGCCAAAGAGCCACTGTGTCAGCTATTGTTGATTTCCTATTATCTTCCTTTGAAGTTGTGTATCACTTTCATTGTTTTGCTTTGTTTTGATTGGATTTATCCTGTTGTATTTTGTTTGGTTTTATTCTCTTTAAAATATTTTTAAAAGACTGTGAACAGTGATTGTTAAAAGTTAAAAGAGGGCAGATGTTAAGACATTTAAGTGTATATTTAATACTCTTGTGGAACCAAGATAAAGTAAAATTTACAGGTAGAAATACATATACAGATCTGGGTAATTACATAAAACAATTAATTGTTCAACAGACTCTGGAAAAATTCTGTCAAAAGAACACTAAGTGAAGCATTGAAGGAAAGGAATATACACACATGCAAAACAGCCTGGTGCAAGCACAGAATACTGAATTTATCAATTATCAAATTTTAGGGTGCATAAAAATCTATAGAAAAAACCCTTGAGCCCTAAGTTTAACAAGAATACCAAATGATAGGATGATTTTTCCATGTTACTTTTAAAAGTGCAATGAAATGTATAAATGACATGATTAGCTTACAGATAAATGTATTTCCTCAAACATCCTGAAATAAAATGAACAATCTCTGTGATTCAAAATGATTGCAAATAACTTTGATAATATTTTTCAGGTAGAAATACTCATAAATCATAAATCATTGAGGATGAAGGTGAAATATGTTCTAGACATCAACCTCTTAATAATAGTCTCAAAAGAGAAAAACAACTAACAATTTTGCTAACAGTGACACAGAAATCTGACAAACACTAGCTAAATGGAAACACTTAATACCTGGTCAAGGAAAATAGTTTTTTCATTGGAAGCCAAAATGAACTGCGTAAGCCGGAGTTGAGGTAAGAAATGGGGTTTCTCACTGTTTTTAGAAACGTGTATTCCTCTTATATAACATTTTAAAGTACTAATAATAGAGGAATTTGTCCAAAATAAAGCAGATACTTTAAGTGTCACTTATGAAAAAGAACATGGAAAGCTTGGGCTTAATTAATGAAACTTGACTAGAAGTAATTATCAACAAATATAGTAATTATAGAAAAATCAATTTATTTTTTGCCACATTCATTATATTTTAACTTTTAAATTTCTTTTTTTCTTTTCTGTTCCTTCTCATTTTATTTTTATAAGGCCATATACATATTTATTATAAAGTAAACGTGGAACAGCATGCTTTCCTTGAAAATGATTCCAGGAGAACTACTTTTGTTCACCATCATAATGGGCCACTACTTTCTACTGAGAATGTTTTCTTTCTGAAAGCTTCACTTTGACTTTGCTGCTGACTACCTGCCAGCTGGCATTGTTACAGAAAAGTAGATGAAAGATTAAGTCTCCAACACTGCCCCAAGCAGCTAGTAGTTAAAACACATTTTTCTCTAAGGTGAATGACTGCAGTCTTTCCTACAGTGCCCAGATTTACAAAATGAGAGAGAAAAAAAAGAACAAACGGAGAGAAAGAGAAAGATAAACATAGCTTCTCTGGATGGAGCTTTCAGAACAATAGATAGATGGGAGGGTACCCGTGAAAGAAAGAAAATGCCAAGATGATGGTGAAAAGTGAAGTAGTATCCTATGACCTTAGCAACAGAGAGCTCACAACAGGCACGCAATTTTAAAATGAATAAACACAAAATTAAGAGACAAAACTGCTATCACTAAAGTTTGCTTTAAATGTTCATCATATCCTTCACACAACTCATAGAACCTTTCAGGCTCCCTAAAAACCTAATGTATCAATTAACTTTTAGTTTGTTAACATTTTAAAAATTACATAAAACAAACATGGTCATACCTTTCAACTCTCGAAGCATACCTGCAGAATATTTTTGAATTGCTTTTATAGCTGCCAGATTCATAAACATTTTTAGGCATGTTGTGAATTGTTTAATGAAAAACATAACATATTACTTTTCTCTTAAAATCTTTGTAATAAAACTTTAAAAGCTATGAGAGCTTATTAACTTAAACATTTCCAGTATTCCTGCTTTTCTCTTCTGCTCATGTATCAGTTTTATAGTCTGAGAAACTGTGAATGTTTTTTCTTTCCTAAAAACTTAAAAAACTCATTTTTTCTTCCAAATCAAACTCCTCTGTAGTCAAAATACCTTAAAGCTCACAATGCTGTGAAGAAATTAACTGATTTATTCTTGTAGACTTTAATTACATAAAACAATGTTTCAACAAAGGTGAAAATATAAAATACATCAAGAAATTTGGATAGGAATTTAAATCCCTGAAGTTGAATTTAAAGTGAATTCTACTCTCTAAGAGCAATTTTCTCATTTTGCAAATTCTGGACTTTCCTGCTCTCATACATTGTCTTGAGGTTTTTTCTAACATATTTTTCAAATGTAGAATCTAAAAGATAGATGAGTTATTCAGTTTCTAGTTATTGCACCCAATCCTCCCTGTTCAGTCTCTTCTGCTCTTTGCTAGTTGACTAAACATTGAACTATTTAAAGGGGTCACCCTTGGCTTTGTAATAACCATGTGCCTAGGGATTTCTTCCAAGTATTTGTGTTAAGTTTTACAATGAAACACCCAAAATTACATAAATATAATAATAAATTCTCATCAATAAGGAAATATACTAGAACTATTTTAGAATTTAAATTGTGAAGGAACTAAAGTGGCCAACCTTAACATTGAAATTCAGAAATGTCATCCAAAGAAATTTATTGATAGAGATGTAAGCAATGTTTAATAAATATTTATTGCTGTTCACAACAATGAAAACTATGTCATTTTTTTGTCTACTGAGGTAAAATGTACACATAAAATGCACTCATTTAATGAGTATTGTATGAGCTTTTATAAACATTAAGGACACAGAGTAGTTCTATCACTCTTAGAGTTTACCTTGTGCCCTCTTGCACTTCATCCCTACCTCTGTCCTTACTCTGGCCCCAGTGAACGTTCTTTCAGTATGTATTGATCATTTGTGAAATGTCACATAAGTGGAATCACAGCACATGTATCATTTTCTCTCACATCATTTCATCAGGAATCTGAGAATAGCAGATTTCTGGTTGAGTTTCTCATATTGCAATAAAGCTGTTGGTCCTGATTGTACTTATAGGAAAGTTGACTGGGACTGTAAGATCTGCTTCCAACACTGGCTGAAGTTTGGAGATCTCCTAGGGCTGCTGTTAGGAGTTCAGATCCTACTTTTGTGTACCTCTTTATTGAGGTACAAAAAGTGCAGTTCTACAGAAATCAATATTAAAGAAGAAAAGATAAACCTGCAATGCCTTTTAGATCTACTCTCAAATTCACACAACATTTATCCATAAGAATAAAGTCCAGGCTAGACTAAAAGTTGAGAAAGGGGAAAAGATTCCACCTACTAGATGAAATACAAAAAAACTTGTGGACATATTTTAATACCATCATAAAAATTCTGAGTTATTATTAATAAAGGCTATGAAGAAACATGTAAAAAGGAATGCTAAAAAAATACAAAAGTAGAAGACAGACTATTAAGGAGGGGGAGAGTAGAGGAAGGGGAAGGAGGATAAAGAAGGATGATATAAGTATAGATATCATCAGAGTATGTTCTACCCACATACAAAAATGTAATCAAGTAACTTGCATTATTCACATATAAATATGTGGATAGATTAAGAAAATAAATAGAACACTATCGATGAAAAATGCATTTTTGTTTGGTTGGTTTTGTGATGTTTACATTTCCTTCAGGTAAATACCTAGGAGTGGAATTATGGGATCACATACTTAAGTATATGTTTAACATTATAAAAAACTGTCAAACTCTTGTTCAACATGCATGTTCAATTTTACAATTCCACCTGCAATCAGAGATCTTTTGTTTCATATCCTTATTAACTATTGATATTTTCAATCTTCAATTTTAACCACACTAAGAGATATATAGCAACATTTTATTATGGGTTTAATCTTCATTTTTACTGATGCCTACAGAGGTTGAGCATCTATACAAGTGCTTATTATCCATTCAAATAATTTCTTTAAGAATTTTTCCTCTTAAATATAAACTATAAGTTCTTTGTAGAGCTGAATACAGAACCATTGTCAGATACAGGTATTGTGCAATTTTATCCAAATATGTAGAATGCCTACTCAACTCATTAATGTTGTTTTTGAATAGCAGCCTGTAATTTCATAAAATGCAATTATAAATCATTTAGTTTGTGCAACTAATAAATATTTGCTAAACATATGATGAAAACAATTGTTCCCCTCAGTGTTCTGCTAGAAGTTTTATATTTTAAACTTTTATCCAAGTAAAATTTTGTGTATGAAATAAGGACTGACTTACTTAAAAGTATATTTACTTTGACATTTAAGATTTATTTAATTGAAGTAAATCTATATATTTTGACACATCTTAATATATTTTAAGTGTATGATTCAATAGTATGTATGATCCTATTCCTGTGCAACCAATCTGCAGAATATTTTTATCTTGCAAAACTAAAATGTTACATATTTCAAATAACAATGCACTACTTCTTAAAGCCCATAACAATGGTCCTTTTACTTTTCTCTAGGAATGTGATTAATACAGGTAGGTCATACAGTTGAAACTGTATTTGTGTTTTTGTAATTGGATTATAGTACTTAGTGTAATGTCCTCAAATTTTATCCATGTTGCAGCATGTGCAAGAACCTCTTTCTTACTGAGACTCAATATTATTCCATTGTATGTATACCATGTCTTGTTTATTCAACTAGTTTTTCTTTTCTTTTTTTTAAATAAACACTGGGGTTCCTTCTACCCTTTGTCTGTTATGAATAATGTAGCTCTGAACATGATATATAAAGATTTCAAGTATTTTAGGTATATACACAGAAGTTGAATTTTTAGGTCATATGGAAAATGTATTTCAATGTTTTGAGCCAACAAACATCATTTTTCATAGAGGCTGTTCTATTTTACACTCCCATCAAAATTAGAAAAGAGTCCTAATATGCCTACATATTCATTACTATGTTGACGTCTTTTTTCAGTTAGAAGTTATTTTGTTGGCATGAGTATATATCACAATTGTTTTGTTTTACATATCCCTGATAGTGATGCTGAGGATCTTTTTATATGTTTGTTTCTCATTCATATGCCTTCTTTGAATAAAGTTCACTTCTTTGCCTATGTTTTAAATCAAATAGCTTTGAATTTTATTGTTGTAGTTCAGTATATATCATGGGCACTAATCCACTATCAGGTACATGATTTGCAAATATATCCCCTTATTTTCTAAGTGATTTTTATACTCTGTTAACTGAAACACACTTTTTATGTTATCTATATGTTTTCATTTTCATTATCTGTTTCTTATAATCCAAAACTCATTACTAAGTCTTTAAGTTAATAAGCATTTTCCCTATACTGCAGAATTTTATAGTTATATCTTTTAAATAATTTGCTCCATGTTGTTAATTTATTATATGCTTAAAAACTAAGGACTCAAATTTTGACCATGCTTTTGCATAGATAAACATTTTTCTCAGCAAAATTGATATTTCTCCTTAAAGTAGTAAGGACTAAACCCTCCTTTTTAATACAAATATCTAAATATTCCATTACTATAATGTCACTTATTGAAATGAAAAGATTGGAAAAGAATATTGTTTATCATGCATGTACAGACAAATTTTGTTTCATGAATCTATATATTTACCAGTAAAATGTGGTCTTAATTATACTAGTATAATAACAGCAGTTCTTGAACTAAGGGGGTATAAGGTGTTTTTGATTTGTTTTTGTTTTCTGAGGTGGGTGTCCTAGCATGTGGTCGATGCTAGCGTCCAGACACTTTTGGCTCAGCCATCTAAGTAGCTGAAACTACAGACACATAAAACTATGCTCAGCTTGACTTTTCAAATTTGAAAATTTTTAATGGTTTCATTATTCTAAGAGCTCCATAATTATAATATATTAAATTTAAAAGGTCCCTTGTCAATTTAAGAATAATAAAAAAAAACTCTTCCTGAATTGGAATGTTAAGATCAATTTAAGTAAAATAACAATAGGAAAAATAATGTAAGTTTCCTAATCTATGAACATGGTGTATCTTTCATTTACTTATAATCTTTTATTTCATTCTACAATATTTTAAAGATTTTTGCATGAGTCTTGAATTTATTTTCTTAAATTTGTTTCCAAAGACCATATGACTATGAAGATACTATAAATGGTATTTGTTTCAGAATTTGTTTGGTAATTTTATTTCATTATATATTAAATATTATTGACTTTTAAAAATATAACAGGCTTGTATATTTGTATGTTTCCAAGTTTTTTTATTAATTCTAATAGATTTATGGAAATTATTAAAGTTTTTTCACACATTTGAGCATGAAAACTGAATAGTTTACCTGATTTTTCTAAATTCTATTTCTTTTACTCCTTTTTTTTTCTTGCTTGCTTTATTGGAAGGCTAAGATATTCAGTACAGTACTGAACAGAAGTTGAGAGAGGAGACATTTTTGTCTTTACTTCAGTCATACAGAGAAAACGTTTAGTATTTAACAGAAGGATGACATTTATTACAGATTTTTCATAGATCCCCATTTTTCTGAATGAAGAACTAATGGGCTCCTATTTTAGTGTGTATTCATATGACAAATGGGTACTAAATTTTAACAATTTTTTTTCATTTTCAGTTGATATGATTACATATTTTAATCTTTATTTTCTGAAAAGAATACATTTCATGGATTAACTTAAAAGTTAAGTGAATCTTTTGTTAAATATATCCTACTGTTCAATATGCAGTACTCTTTTCTTTTTGTATATTACTGGATATACTTGCTAATATTAGGTGTGTGTGTATTCATGTATCTGAGAATACTAGGCGATAATTTTCTTTCCTGTTAGCCTTTTATTTGTCTACCTTTGGTACGGACGTTTATAATATTAATGGGCAAGTCCTCCATCTTTCTTTATTTTCTGGACCAATTTGTGTAGTATTGGTAAATTTCTTCCTTAAATGTTTCATAGAATTTGTCGTTGAAAACATGAGGCCTAGAATTTCTTTTGTGGAACAATAAAAACTCATTTTTCTTTACTCTAACAAGGATACTGCAATTCTCTTTTTTCTTTCTTAGTCAGTTTTGATACTGTGTGTCCATCAAAGAATGTGTTCAGAATGTGTTCATCTGAGTTGTTGAGCAAATTTTATATAAATATATTAATAATTTTAAATATTTATAGAATCTGAACCAAAATCTCTCATTTCTTTATTTTTGCAATTTTAGAAATTTGTTTTTAAATTGACAGTATCATATACAGTTAGCACATACAACATGATGTTTTGAAGTATACATGTATTGCAGAATGAATAAATACAAAAATACTTCGCCCATATCCATTAGAAGAATTACTATTCTCTGAAGCGCATCAATTTAAAAAATGTATTTCTTGATTTCAAAGTCTTGACTTGATTGTGGCTTATTCCTTGAGCGATGGGCTTGAGAATTTCAGTGTACATGAAGATAATCTGAATCTCATCACATCCCGTGAGAGCAGATGAGTGACCAGGACCATTGTCAAAGAGGAACAATATCTTGAAAACCAACATTTTCCCCTGAACCATAGGTCTCAACAGACAATTTAAAACACTCATTAAACCATGTTGCAAACATATTTTCTGTGATCCAGGCTTTGTTGTTTTACTTGTGGAGCACATACAGATAATATTTAATGTAATCTTTATGGCCTAGCATTTTTGTGATGGTGAGTTAGATTCAGGTTCAACGTCAAATCACCAGCTGGACTGGCCTCAAACAGAGTCAGCCTCTTTCAAAGTTTTTTAATTAAGTGTTGCCTTCTCTCTAGCAATGAAAGCCATACATGGCATTTTCTTCCAACTTTAGGCTGTTTTATCTATCCTGAAAATCGGTTATTATCACTGTCCAGTACCTTGGTCAGATCTTCAGAACCATTTATTTTTGCTTCCATGTCAGCACTTGCTACTTCCCCTTCCACTTGTATGTTACACTATGTTATGGAAGACAGTGTCCTTCCTAAACCTGACAATTCCTGGCTATGTCTGGAACTTTTAACATTCCCTCTGTATCTTTCTCTTCTCTCTCTGCCTTCACAGAATCAAATAGAGTTAAGGGCCTTGCCGTGGATTAGGCTTTGGATTAAGGGAATATTAGCACTGATCTGATTTTCTATCCAGGCCACTAAATCTTTCTTCATGAGAGCAATATGCTTTCTCATCATACATATATTTGCTGGATTTAAATTATTTCTAAAACTTTTCCTTTGACTTCACAATTTAGGTAACTGTCATACCAGGGCTTGTTTTTACTATCTTTGATGTGCCATTATAAATTCATTACTTAGCCTGATTTCAAATTGTTATCTTAGGGAACAGAGAAATTTGAGACGAGAAAGAGAAAGACTGAGTGTGGAATGGTCATTTGAGCAATGAGGACACATAAAATTAGTTTTTGCTGTCTTACATAATTCATAGTTCATAATTCCCCTAAACAATTACAATAATGATATCAAAGATCATTGATTTTAAATCACTATAACAGATATAACAATCATCAAGAAGACTGAAATATTGTGAGAATTAGCAAAATGTTGCAAAGAGAGAGATAAAATGAACACACAATGTTGGAAAAAAGGCATCAATACAGTTTGATATAAGAATGCTGCAAACCTTCAATTTTTAAGAAATGCAATGAACAATAAAAAATAAATTATGTTTGTAGTAGAGGTTATTTAAATTACTATAAAAGTAAAGTAGAATAATCTGGTAAAAATAATATAGAATCATCTTAGAAATGTGCTCAATACACTGGTGTGAGATATTTGTCAATATATAACATACATGTTAAAACAGTTGTGCATTCATTTATCTCCACATTTTAGGACTATTGATAAATATCTAAATTTTCTTTGTTCTCTTTATGATTTCTGATATTATAAACTAATTATATATTGCTTTCCTAATAAAATAGAAACCACTTATTTACCATTAGAAGAAAATTTAATCTTATTTATGATTCTTCATTGTCCTTTATATCGTTAGGAGAAGAAGAGGTAAGATGTCCTTAACTGTTTTTTTTTTAAATATCTAAGATGCTCTTCATATAATGTATTTATAATTTATGTGTCTAGTTTTTAAAAGAAATTTGAGCTTTTCCAATCTTAGTAAATAAGCTAATGTATACAAAATACATACAAAAATGTTGTTGATATAAATACTTGATAAGTTAATAAGAAAAGAAAGCTTATAAATTTTAAAAAGAATTGCATAAAAGGGACCTAGGAGAAAACAATTTCGGTACACTGAAAAACCCTGAAAACTTAGATGCTCTATTTATGGGAGTCAATACAAAAGTATAAATGTCACTCAGCAGATACTTCACAGCTTGTGTTTTATAAACTCATCCTATTACAATGAATATTACAAGATTCTTGGGTACCATGTTGATTTGCTGGATTCTTATTAGAATAGGAAAACAGTAGGACAAATGTGACTGAGCTGCAGAAGTAACACAAAAGAAACCACCTAAGGAACAGCTGACACTCTCCAGAGACCTAGCAGAATAAGAATGACATTTCTCTTTCTTATAAAATAAATAAAAATTATCTTCTTGTGGTACAGATAAGCTATGATCATTTAAATATACAGACAGTAAAAGCTAAACTTGTATATCAAATGAGTCCATTGTCAGAAGTCAGTGGTAATGTTTAAACACGAGTTCTGCCGAGACAGTGAGTGAAGGGGAAGGGTATGGATGTAGGTGTAACAGAAAAGAGAGGTATATATGCAGATATAGTCATAGACATAGGAGTGAAAAGAAATTTAATAGTGTACAAACACTTTGAAACAAACTTGTAAAATATATATATAGTGATTATTATTCTAATAAAAATTTTAATGAACTTTGATGCTAGAGAAACAGGTATGCAAATTTTGGCCCATTACTCCTTCCAGAGTGTGTCTTTCGGCAAATTAGTTCATGTCTCTGACTCTTTTTTTTTGTTTGTTTGTTTTTGGTTTTTTTGGTACTGGAGATCAAACTCACAACCTTACGCTTGCCAGGCAGGTGCTTACACCACTGAGCTATATCCCCGGCCCCTCATTTCTTCTTTAAAAAAGAGATAATACCTGGGAGGGGGGAACATCTTTGTACAGTTGAATTGAGAGCTCAATATGTTAATACAGGACTTGATCACAATAGGCTTCCAAAAATTTGGCCACTACAATGGCTGCTTTGTTTATGTTATTAAAAAGTTTTATAAATAAGAGTCATACCTACTTTGTGAACCATTATCTCAAATTATAATGATCCTCCCTTATCCACAAATGCAAAAGGGTGGCACCTTTGGTCCTATGTAATAAAGTTCATTGTTGAACTATATTACAGCTATTCATGGAAAAAAGAGAAATGAGGCTGATTTATCAGAAATCATAGACAAGAAACGAAATAGGAAGATAGAATTAGTTTGGATGATCTGTGTTTATAAATTAATGTTAGTTATCCTAAAGTCTTAGCATCTTAATTCCATGACACAGACTCATACTATTATGTTTGAGAACACATAGAAAATTCCTGCTGAATTACGGTTCTAAGAAGTCCTTTTTGATGCTACATCAATTAAATTCATAAGGAAAAGAGTATGAATAGCTGTTGATTATTCTCAAACTTCTTAGTCTGACTTATTATATTAATATTGATCACAGAGAATGCATGGGAACTTTTGGTGAAGCAATTGGCAGCTTTTGTAATAGAGAGTCACTTTTGTGCTTGAGTGTAAACCCTCATTTTAATGAAAATTTTGTGAGAATGATACCTTCGAATCCTAGGTGTGGGGAGTGATATTTAATTTGGATCAAGTAAAAAGCTCTGGAATATAAAGTACATTTGTGAAATTTGGAAGATAAAAATGAATGGTTCTGGCCGGTGCTGTATAAAACTTACAGAAAAATTTGACAGTCTGAATGTTTAGATAAGATGTGGCAGGCAGTACAATGGCCCTTAAAGACATCCTTCTTATGACATTACATAACAAAACGAAGGTTATATACTAAGGTTGTACATGTTAATATAATTACTAATCAAATGATCGCGAGGGGCCCAATCTAATCATGTCTGTCCTTAAAGTAGGAGATGAACAGATAGAAGAAAGCATCAGAGTAAGGCTTTGTGAAAACGAAGTTGAAGAAAGGGACCGTACACCCATGAATGTGGGAAGACTGGAGAAGCCTGTAAGGACAAGAAAGTAGATCCTTCTGCAGGCTTACAGATGGGACTCAGTTCTGCTGACAGCCAGGATTTTAACTCAGTGAAAACTGTGTTGCAATTTTCATCCACACAACTGTAAGAAAATAATTTTGTTTTGCATCAGTGTTATATAATAGAAAACTAATCTACTAGCACACTCTAATTAGTGATTTAAATTATATTTATGGCTTTAAGTTACTTTAGGAATAGTGTTTCTTTGTTTCTTTTTACTTGTTGAGACAAAATACCTGGCACCCAAAATTAGGGAAGGAAAGGTTTATGTCTTACAATTCTTAGCGGTTTCAGTCCATACTCAATTGGCTCCAAGCCTGTGTGGGATGGCAGTGCTGCCAGTCATGGCCTCTGCAAATAGCAAGGTACCAACAGGAGAGCGACACACTTTATTCCCTCTTTTACGTCATATGCTGGCTCCACCACTAGGGAATGTAGCACTCACATCACCAATTTGAGCGTGAGAGAACAAACCAATCACAAATGCCCGAGTTGGTCCAATCCATAATTATAAGGCTTGGAGGCACTGACATAAACCATGACACTATGCTGTTGGAAGGAGAAGAAGAATTATGACCAATGTTAGGGTTTTCGACCAGGAAGGAGGAAGATTTAACTATTAATTAAAAGAGGGAATGGAAAATAAAGTTGTGAACTTAGCATGAATGACATTTTTTCAGTCTCCTGTTATAATAAATATGCCTCTATTTATGTTGCCATCAATTTAGGTTAAAATTAGCTTGAATTGGTTTGTAGCTTAAAATCAAACAGTTTTAATGACTAGAACTGTTCAGGATAATTATCACTAGATACCCTAGAGAGAAATATTTGAAAATAATAGTCCTAGATGGGAACAATACATAGGACTTTTGCTTCTAGCTTGAGATTAGGGGCATTTTTCTTTGATTTCTTAAAAAATAAACTATAAAAAATGCTATAAATCACATTTCATTTTACTATTATAAAAACATCAAGAAAGTCTACACTATTTTATACAATGAGAAGCTAAGAGTCAAAAAGTTAAATAATTCAGGTTTTAAGTGATAAATTGGTATTCAAACTTCAGTTTTACTGACATAAAAATTGTATTGTGCCTTTCATTCCTGTATTCATTCATATATTTACCAAATATTTATTCATTACTTGTTAAGTATTAGATTCTGTGATATCTATTGTGCTGACATTTAATGAGGCCTTATAATATGCCATATAATTAGCATTCATTAGTTTACAGAATCCTTGTTTTATTATGTGTCTTTTACACATCAAACACAAATAGAATAAGAACCTTGTAAGAAGGCTTATAAATGACGTGCCTAGGTTCCAAACTAGTCACTCCAGCACTAAGTGATCTATAACTATTGATGAGGTGTGATTGAAACATATGTGTGGTTAAACATTAAAATAAGTCTTACAGTAAAAGACATATTGTCCTTAATGCCTCTCAATGTACTGCCTGTTGATTTAAGTAATTTTATCCCATTGTTCTTGCCACCTTCTGAAGCAGTTGTGAAAATTGTACTGTTGTGGCTGCCTTGAAGTCCTGAATCAATTCAAACACTTGGCTTTCACTGTCGTTTTGACTTGAGGAAGAGCAGCAAGTCAAACAGTTGCAGCGCCACTGGCATCCTAATGTTTTTACAAGCCTGCCTTCCCCTGTGTTACACTTGGCAGCAGCATTTACTTTACTTTTAATTACACCTCAAAGTCAATCAGGAAAGAGGATTTCCAGAACTGCTTTGGAAAGTGGCAAAGATAGTGGGATAAAAGTGTTAGAAGTGAGGGGAGTATTTTGATGGAGAGTAATAGCGAAATGTCTTTTACTGTAATAATTGTTTAAACAATTTCAAGTCGTTATATTTTTAATCATTCCTGATATCTCTACTGCTACCTGTGATAGGCACATAATACAAAGTCTGCTATTCAGACTGAATAAATATATAGTCTGTTCTCATGGAGGTTATATTATGATTAGAGAGACAGAGGAGCACAAAGGCAACTACTCCATAAGTACTACATTGTATAAAGGTCGTGTACAGGAAGAGCATGAAAGATTATTAAGGTTGTTAGGTCCAGTGGTGTAAAGCACTGTCTAAAATGTTTAATGAAGCAACAATTAAATGAAGAGAAAAAAATTGAGGAATTGGTCATAGAAATGTCTTTGGTCAGGGAGGGGATACTGGGTGTGATGATTAATCTTAGATGTTGGTTTCACTTGGCTAAGGGATGCCCAGAAGCTGCCAGAATAGTATTTCTGGGTGAATATGTAATGGTATGCTGAAGCATTTAAATCAGTAGACTGAGTCAGGAAATCCACCCTTGGTAATGTGGTCTGGAATCATACAAACCACTGATGTTCTAGATAGAACAACAGGAAGGATAAATGGCAAATTTTCACTCCTGTAACTGAAATAGCCTGACAGTGGACACGGGAGCTTCCTGTCCTTTGTCTTTCAGACCTTAAACCTGTCCCTGCTTTAACCCTACCATTATTAAGTCTTAGGCTTCAGGTTAGGTAGTACCCTTGATTTCCTGGGTTTTCAGGCCTTCAGATTCAGACTAAATTGAATCACTGAGTCTTCAGAGTCTCGCCTACTTCTCAACATCCATAACAACATAGTTAATTCTCACAATAAATATCCTCTTACAAACTAGGTGTGGTGGCACATGCCTGTAATCCCAGCACTCGGGACACCGAGGCAGGAGATAGTTGCAAGTTCAAGACTGCCTGGGCCACGAAGTGAGCTCAAGGCCAGCCTAAACTGCACAGTGAGACCTTGGCTCAAAAGGAAAAAAACAAATAAATATCTTCTTTCAAATATCTGTATATAGACTCTATTGCTTCTGCTTTCTTACATAAATCCAGCTACACAACTTCAGCTTTCAGAGAACATGGAAAGAGAGTCTAAAACTGAAAAAAGAAAATTAACCCTTTTCTGGAACTGAAAAAAGGCAGCGTGGCTGATTCAAAAATTAGTTAAACACAGTAAAACAAGAACAGCAAATTACTTAAACAGATTTAACATTTTATATTTCCTTAAATATTCAAAATATAATCTATTCAAAATTTAGCATTATTAATAGACTGTATTTTTAAAATGACAAGTGTATCTTAAAAAATAATCATTTCCAGTATCCTTAACTTTCCTATTTAAAGGTACAAAACTTCCATTTTATCCCATAAGTGATAGATCGTAGTCTTACTGAATGATAGCTATTCCAATTTCAGAAATCAAAGACTATCTAGCAAAATAATCACAAGATGGTTCACTTAATGAACTCAGACTTAATTTATTGATTTATCTGTTCTGTTTTAGATGATGATAAATACAGTAAACTAACCTTGTCCTTTTCATTCTTGGTTAGATAAATCAATAATGTTGATATATGACCCAAAAACTACTGGAGATACCGATGGTAGATGTATACAACTCAAAAATATAATTGACAACATCACCAGTCATATCTTTTCATAGATTTGGAATGTGATTTTTATTATGACTATTATGTACATTTTTGAAGTTTGCTTTATCATATTAAATATAGCACTTAAGCAATACTCCCTAGAAATTTTGTAAAAGAAATAAATTATCAGTAACATTCTACAGGTAACAAAGGCAACCATGTCACATTTACAGATGGAATGTCTTCTTTCAATAAATTATTAAAAATGAAATAATTTTATATCTAATAAAATTTAAATTATATACACAATTTTCCATTGCTATAATTTTAATGTAACAGATGTTAGAAATGACAGATTATTAAATAAAATTATAAAGTATTATAATCATTATAAAGCAATAAATTAGTTTCTGAAACTCAATTTGACATAAACACTGATCCATTGAAATTTGTATGAATATTAGTCCCCTGTAGTCCTGATTCCCATGAATAATAGGAGGTATTAAAAATAGAAGACTCAATCCAATTGGCATTAGAAAAGGTTAAGAATTAGTAGATTTTTGAAAATAATTAAATTTGAAATGTTTTTTTTCAGAAGTCACTTATGTTTCCTTCAAGAAATCACTTGCTTCCTAGGAGACTGAAAGATAAAACAAAACTCCAAAAGAACTCTAAAGTGATATTGTGAAAAGAATATATTTTACAAAGAATATTAATTTTTATTGCCTTATAATTAAAAAGGGTAGGAGCATGTGAAAATGGATTTTTTTGTTTGTTTTTTGGGTTTTTTTGTTTTTGTGTTGGGGATCTAACTTTTGACCTAGCACTTCCCTGGCAGGAACTTATGCCACTGAGTTAAATCTGTAGACCCTGTAATTGCTGATATATCTAGTAGAAGAGTATGCTTTCATTGTATGATTTATATAGAGATATTTTTAAGAGGATATTTATTATAAGAAGTATTAAGTTTTTAAAAATTATATGCATAGAATCTGTGGCCAGTACATTCTTATGTATTAAACATTTGTGAAATAATCTGCATTTCAAGATATGGAAATAATATATGTTGTTACATATTTGGGTTCACTGGTCATTTTGAAAATTTGCCCTCAAGGAATATGCAGCCTTATGCTCCAGCAAAGAATATAAAGCACTTTCTTAACAAGAATTTTGGTTGACAAAAAATCCTTCAAATGGAACATTTTAATTAGGATTCCACAAGAGGAAAACGGAATGGCTTTCTCTAAGAAACAGAAGTTGTGTTTTGCCTATCTTTATAAACACAAAACACAAAAATGGGAGAATCCAGATATTTGAGAGGAAAGACAAACTTGATTTTACATTATATCTATTTTGATATCAGTAAGTTCTTCCAAAAGTCTGCATCTTATATACCTAAACTTCTTTAATCTTTTAAAAGCAATTAATACCTTTACTAGAGAGTATTTTCACAAAGTATAGTTATACATTTTCATTCAATAAAAGTGACAGAATAATTCTGTTAATGTTTCCCATCTTTTGTTTTTCTTTTATTTACTTGTGAAAAATTACTATATTTCTATTGCACATACTCAAAGGAAAATATAAATTCCTTTTGATAGGAGAGGACACAAAATCTGAACTGCATGTAGAAAAGATAACAAAACAAGAAAGTCCACACTGTACATTGTTCAAACACCCTGACCACCATTGTACTGCCCAAACCCCAAGTATTCTACAATGGCATTTTACATTAAGCTCCTAAGAAAATGTCACCCTTTCCATATATAGCCTTGCTTATCATATTTACTTCCTGTACCTAAGATGGGTCTACACATTATGCACACACACACACACACACACACACACACACACACAATATACCGCATATTTTTCAAATTTCAGCTCAGTCACTGATCCTTGCTCTCATCTGCTTGTCTCTGCCATTTTCCCTTTCCTAAGACCACAATGCCTGATTGCGGTCTTCCAACAATAATATTACTCATGCGTATGGGTCAGTTCAGCTATCTCATACTTTTATATTTGGTCTAAAAACATTTTCATAAAAATATCTGGAAATTTTTAGAATAAATGATTTTCCATAAAATCCCAGATTTCCAGCTTTGTTAAAGCAGAAAAAATGAACTAGTATTTTCACAAGTCAAAATATGCCTAGAATGGAATAGCTTTAATGCTATTTCCTATTTCCATAGGAAAAGCAGTTGGGTTCACTACCGTCTTCATTTTCCGCATTCTGGGTCTGTCTATAATATGGTGCTATCTTTGCAGTCTGTGTACACATATTTATCACAGTTAAATTTTTCTCTCTACTTATTTTTGCCAGATTAGGCCACATTTTACTTGACTTTCACACCTCTAGTTGTGGAATGTGATCACAGATAACATACTACTAATGTTATCTTTATGATCACAACCCATTTGAACAACAATTATTCGCTTCCTACATTAAAACTTTCAACTCTGCTAAAAATACCTATTTACCCTTACAAGTTCTCTTCTCTCCTATTCTTATTCTGCTTAATTTGTTAAGCATGTAGTGACAAAAAGATAGTCTGTCAGAAGTAAAGCTACTGATAATTTTCAAACTGGTTAATTAACCTATAAACAAATAAATTTGTCTAAACAATGTCTCATGTTCTTACTTTCCTTCCAGATAGTTGGCTGCATGCCCAGAGTGAACACAGAAAGCCCACAGGATCACCAGAAGTTCTACCATAAGCTTCCGAAGTCAGCTGACAACTACCATGTCCTCTGGGAAGGCAGAACTTTGCATAATTGCCTGAAACTCCTTCAGGTCTAGCTGGGCTTGATTTCAGTGACTACTGGTTCATTTGCTCAATCTGTCTGATAGCTCACTGGGGGAAACCAGGCTTTTCACTACTTGTGAAATGAGAAACATCACATTTTTAAAAATTATAATCAAACTGTCTGCAGTCTCTGGGAAAGTTACAGAACAGAGCATGTGTTTCTTTCTGATTGAACACTGAAAAAAGAATAGCAAACATTACAAGATCATCTACAATATTCCAAGTACTAAGCTATGTAATTTACATATTTTTTCATATTAGTACTCATCCTTGGGCTAAGTATTATCATTTATATTTTTATAGATAAGGGATCTGAATCTCAAACTAAAAAGAGGGATATGTTACCTAATATAATTAATAACCAAAATTATTGGATGCAAATGTAGTTATAATACCAAATATACACTTATTATTAAGCTATGCTCTCTCCTCTCCAAAATACCTAATGCTGCTCATTCACAATCCTTTCAGGAGAGTGAGGACTTAGCTAATATTCAAAAGGGCCATATAACAGTCCTTAGTGAAAAATGTACAAAGAATATCAAATTGGGAAGCACTAGAGATGTTGACTTAGGGAAGATCAGATAAAAGACTTAATTGCTGATATTAAATATCTGAGAGTCATGAGTGCAGTTGTATAAATGCCAAAAATACATGCAACTTGTGAAAAATGACCATCTATGAAAAATAATACAAAATTGTGAGTACAGACTTAGTTATGAAAATGAATATGAAAAAGTCAACTTTGAGCCGGGGTTTTAGCTCAACAGCATAAGTGCCTGCTTGATAACTGTAAGGCTGTGAGTTCAATCCCAGATACCCAAAACAAAACAAAAAAAGAACAAAAAGTCAACTTTTTAAACATTTGACATACCATATACATAAAAATAATCCAGAAAAAATAATATAATGCTATTTTTTTAAATAAATTAACCACCTAGCATACCTGTGTAGCACTCTTCTCCCATATTTCTGGCTGTGTTTCTAAGTGCCTTTTAAATTATCATAATACAATAATTTGGTAATATTTTCAATAGATATAATAGGGAAATAATTTTGTCTTGCTCATAGTTGATGCCATTTCTTGTTTATTAATGATATATCAGAGAAGTTCGAGTTTTATTTTTGTTTCACATTTCATCAGTATAAATAGCATAAGTTTCTAGGAGTGTTGGCAAATTAAGGAAAATCTTCAAGTTTTTTTCACTTATGAGCTACCACAGATGTACTCAGTATTTATTGTATTACTATATTTTTATAGTACAATTACAGAATTTGTACAATTCTCTTAAAAATGAAAAAAACACATATGTGTTTATGTATTATAATTAGATATGCTGCATTTTGTAGTGCATTCCTGAGAAGAAAAAGCTTTGGCTGAGGAATGTTCAATTAATCTGATGATTTAACAGATTTTGACCAATAAATTTCTGCCTTCATATATTAAAAAATTACTACCCACATACTCCTGGCACATCTACCTTTGTTTTGTAGTAGTAGTTATAATATTTTGAAAGTCATTCCTATGCAATTCATGAGAACCGAGCTTCAATGAATTTGCATTACTGAAGCAGTTGAAGAAAGAAGCTTTCTGATACTTGGTAAGTATATGGTAGTGTACTAGTGTAATGTATGATTCTCAATGCTCTAATCCACTATAACATTATGCTTTGATATATTAGTTCCTTTTACTGGTTTAAATAAGAATTTTGTTTGAAAAGTGAGATTATAAAAGTAAATGTCTAGGGCCCCAAATGGCTGAGTTCCACCTTGCTCAGTGGTCTGAGCTGAAGGCTTGCACAATGAACCTCATCCATCCCTGCAACCTTGGAACCTTGCTCAGAACTTCTTAGGGGCCCGCCCAGCATTCTCATTCAGCCCAGGACCTTTGGGTAGGTCCCTTGGGGCCTGAGTGGCCAGGGAACAACCTGCTCTGAGTGGCACAAGCCAAAGGCCTGCAGAAAGAATCCTACCCAGCTGTACAACATTGGCACCTTGCTTGGAACCTGATATAGCAACCCCAAGCATCTGTGGAGCTTTGGAATGCCATGTGGCATGAGCTGAAGGCCTGCATAGGGTACTCAATATAGCTGTTCAGCCTTGATATGCCACTCAGAACCTGGTAGAGTCCCACCCAGCAATCTCAATCATCCAGGGAGCTCGGAGTGCCACTTGGGGTCTATTGAAGTTTCACCCAGCATACTCCCCCAACTCGAGGTGCCTTCAAGTGCCACTGGGGATCTGGAGAAGTCTGTGTAATGATCCACACTCACCTGAGGAAACTCCCTGCAATATGCAGACATATTCTCAACCCAGGAGTCAACTGAGACCTTGGATTCATTTGGCTTCCCAAGGGAATATACGAAAATCACAAAATGAAAGAGCAAAATGCAATCTCAACCTCCAGTCCATCCCAAACAAGCCTACAAGACAGGGACATACAAGAAAGTGTAAGCTTTATACCCGAAACTTCTGAAACAAGAGCAACTAAAGTAAAGAAACAACTCCATAAAGTGGTTGAGGAACTGAGATCAGAAATAACCTCCCAGGTAAAAGAAGAAATGATAAGCGTAATAAAAGAAATACTAAATATATCAATAAAAGATATACTTTAAAACTTTGTAGGTTACTGAAAAATGATGGAAATCTTGAATGAACAATATAAGAAAGAAAGAGAGCGTATGAAACAGATTCAAAGAGATATCCAGGAAATCAAAACTTTCTTGAAAAACTGGCAAAACTGCCTCAGTGAGGTGAAGATAGATTTTCAGACCTTAAAGACAAGATTGCAGCTAATGAACAGGAAAAGAAAAAATCTTTTAAAAATAACAGGAGACCAGCAAAAAATAATTCAACAGTTTCAAGATGATGCAAAGAAAAACAATAGAAGATTGATATGTGTGAATCAAAAAGGTGACAATATAAATGATGTCAAACAACCATTTACAGAAGTAATAGCCAAAAATTTCCCAAATATAGGAAAGGAAACTGATATACAGATAAGTGAAACATACAAAATTCAAATTAGCCATAATAAAACTAAGTCTACACCCACATATATAATAATCAACACCTCAGAAATACAGCATAAGAACAGAATATTAAAAACTGTTAGAAGAGACAGATCACCTTTAAACGAAAGCATATCAAAATCACAGGACACTTCTCAAAACAAACAATGAAGTCAAGAAGAACATGGAATGAAGTATTTCAAATCCTAAAGGAAAACAACTTCCAACTCAGATTGATGTACCCTAAAAAACTGTCCTTCAGAAATGATGGAGAAATAAGATACTTCCATGTCAAAGAAGAGCTGAAGAACTTCATGGCCACCAAACCAACTCTACAAAGAATACGGAAAGATATTCTAGATAGACATAAAAATAACTGTGACTTCAAGAACACCAACATAAAAAAACCACTAAGCAATGCAAACAATTGAACAAAGGGGGAAAGGTAAAGAACAAACAGCAGAAACATACCATGATAAACATAAGACAAAATATGTTAGTTATAACCATTAATGTAAATGGCCTCAGTTCACCAATTAAAAGAAACAGCCTGGCAGAATGGATCAAGAAACAACACCCAACCATATGCTGTATACATGAAACCCATGTAACCCAAAAGGAAACTCACTGACTGAAAGTCAAAAGATGGAAAACAACACTTCATACAACAGGAACCACCCAAAATTCAGGGGTAGCTATTCTGTTTGCAGACAATGTGAGTTTCAAATCAAGAATGATCAAAAGAAATAAAGAAAGTCACTACATGCTAATTAAGGAAAAAATTCAAGAGGGAGAGATAAAAAAAACTTTAAATATAAATGCACCAAATATGGGAGAACCCAGCTTATACAACAAGTATTAATAGAAATAAAAATTCAAATAAGCAATAACACAGTTATAACTTGAGACCTTACACTCCATTGATACAAAGAGACAGATACACTAGACAGAAAATCAACAAAAAAATCATAGAACTAAATCAAACATATGAACAAATGAACTTCATAGATGGGTACACAGTGTTCTACTTAACATCAGAATATACTTCTTCTAGGCTGCAAATAGGACATTTAATAAAATAGACCATATACTACCTGATAGAATGTGTTTAAGTAAGTGCTAAAGAATAAAAATTAACCCATGCATAATCTGATCACAGTTCTATGAAGCTAGAACTTAATGACAAAAAAACTCCATAAACACATGAATATTAATAATATACTACTGAGAAATCAATGAGTCACAGAAGAAATTAAACAATATCTAAAATTAAGTGAAAATACAAATACAACTTACCAGAATCTGTGGGATGCAATGAAAGCAGTCCTCAGAAAGAAATTTATTTCAGTGAACTCCCACATCAGGAAAACAGAATGCACACAAACAAACAACCTGATGCCACCCCTCAAACATCTAGAAAAAGAAGAGCAAGTCAAGCCCAACTCCAAAAGAAATTATAAAGATCAGAGTGGAAATCAGCACATTTAGAGACTAAGAAAACAATCCAAAGAATTAATAAAAGAGCTAGTTCTTTGAAAGAATAAATAAAATTTATAAGCCCCTAGCCAAATTTATTAAAAACAGGAAAGAAAAAACTCAAATTAATGAAATAAGGAATGAAAGGGCAAAATCACTACAGACCCTGTGGACATACAGAAGATCACCAATACCGACTTCAAAAATCTTAACTCTCATAGGTTTGACAACACAGAAGAAATGGACAGATCCCTAGAAACATATAAATCACCAAAGCTGTATAAAGAAGATATATAACTGCTACATGACTCAATTTCAATTAATGAAATTGAAAATATGATTAAAATCTTACCAATAAAGAAAACCCCAGGTCTTCATGGGTTCACTGGTGAATTCTGTTGGTGGGAATGTAGACTGGTGCAATCACTATCGAAGCCAGTTAGAAGGTTCCTCAGAAAGCTGGGATTGGGAGTCCCATTTGACCCAGCTAGTCCACTTCTAGGCATATTCCCAGAAGAATTGAAAGCTTCATATCATAGTGATATATGTGCACCCGTGTTTACAGAAGCACAATTTGTAACAGCCAGATCTTGGAAGCAATCTCGATGCCCATCAACTGAGGAGTGGATTAGAAAAAAAAAAAAAAAAAAAAAAAAAAAAAGATGTACTACTTTTATGCAATGGAATACTACTCAGCTATAAAGAGGGACCACACTGAGGCTTTTATAGGTATGGATGCAACTTGAGACCATACACATGACTGAAGTAAATCAGACTCACATGTGTAAATACAGTATTGTCTCCTTTGTGTAAGAAACTAAAAGAATAAATAAGATACAAAATCTTCAATGAATATTGTAGAGTAAGAAACTCTTCAAAGGGGAAAAAGTAACTTAGAGTAAAGGAGAAAAGAAGAAAAGAAAAAGAAAAAAAAGAGATAACTTTGTAGATACACACTTAAGATAGATGATTGTATTACTAATTCTATTACTTCCTGAAACAAAACACAACATTCATTGGATTGGATCAATCTTGCATCTGGTAATTTGAGTAACTCTTTTGAAGATAATTATGCAAAATAACAACTTTAGTTATGCTTCTGCCTCGTGTTCTCAGGGCCTGTATTGTCACTATTTTGGACTCTTTGTTGTTATTTGCTTGTCTCTTTTGTTTCTTTTGTTGTTGTTGTTGTTCCAGGGATTGAATTTATGACCTCATGCTTGCCAGGTAGGACCTTATGCCACTGAGCTAAATCCTTGGCCCTGAACAGCTACTTTGAAGAAAACGAGACATTCTGGTAACCATTGCTGATTTCCTGTTATTTTGTTGTGAATCCAGTAATGCTTTTATTCATTTTGATTGGCTTTAGTCTGTTTTGAATTATTTAATTTCAGTATGTGTGGAGGTATGAACAGCTATTTTGAAGAGAATAAGAGACATTACCGTAGCCATTGTTGATTTTCCTCTTGTCTGGTTTTTAAGGCCTGTAATGCTTTCATTCTTTTATTTTGATTGGTTTTATACTATTTTGTCTAGTTTGAATTTATTATGTGTGAAGATATGGACAACTATTTCAAGGAAAATAAGAGCTATTATGGTAGCCACTGTTGATTTCATATTGTCTTGTTTTGAAATCCTGTGTTGTTTGCAATGTTTTACTCTGATCTTTTTTGTTTTGCTCTATTTTGTTTATTCTCTATTCTCTTTAAAATAAAAAAAATTAAAAAGTAAACGTCTAATAAAAAACAAAATAGAATAAAAAAATCTTTCAATAAAATGAAATTTAAAAAAAAGTAGAAGCCAAAGCTGCTTTCTGTAAAACAACGGACAGAGGGCTTAAGAGTCTGTCCAAGCCTCCAACCCTCCCATTCACCCTGCAGTTACCCTCACAGACATCAAAAAGGCATGTTGGTCCTGTGAAATCCACCACTGCATCCAAGAGTTCAAGGCCCTCATAATATCCACATGAATTTCTATACTTAAAGTCTTTTTACAGTCCATCTTGGAGCAAAGATACTTTTGTGAATGACCTCGCCAAGTTGTCTTAAATCAGGGAATGCAAATTTCAGGTTGAACACAGTGAGATGTGTAGAGGCAGGAGATCAAAGGAGCTGCAAGGCCTGGATTTCCAGTACAACTGCTTTACTTGGTATTAGATGCACGCAGAGTTATTTTTAAGTTAAAATAAACATAATAATAAATACAATAGAGTACCTATGGAATTTTGTTATTTTAAAAGATAAAACACATGGTTTCAAGGAAAATTCCAGTTAATGAAAAGACATTTGTTGATAGTAGTCCACTTCACACACAGGGGTATGTATTTCATTCATCTCTGCAGTTTCATGGAGAAAGTCCTACATTAAGTTAAAGTCTTCAAAATTAGCCTTAAAATTGAGAAATATGGTTCCTAATCTTTCTTCCAGGTGTATCTAGCCATCTTAAAACCAGAAGAAATGACACCTGTTTCCCTTTACTTGGCAGAAAAGATGAAAATAAATCCAATGATTCTTATTAATAAGCTTCAGAGTTCTTGGCATTTCAAAGGACACCATAAGGGTAAGGATGTATAACACAGTGCACAGTCTACATTCTTTAAGACTGTACAACCTAGTACTGACAACAGGGCAAATCAATGACCAGTCCTAAATGCTTAGCAGATGATTAAACACAGATGGCTGCATTTTAAAGACCAAAATATAATCATGCATTTTTATGTGGAATTCAGTTACTGCATAAATACTATATGAAGCTTTGTCATAATCATTATCATTATTATTATTTCCAGCAAACTATCCACAATCAGAAGATAAACAAGTTTCCACATAATTCTATGGTTACAAGATGAACATGCTTGAGAGGTAGAAAATAATTTTGAAATGCTGACCGACGAGAGGTAAACTGGTAAACTGAAGGTTTGTAATATGTAAAGGCTACACTTATGAAACGAAACCACACATGCATCCCTTTATGGATGATAATGAATATGTTAATCTTCTTTTGCGAAGTATTTGTTTTTAATTTTATTATCATACCCTTTTTGGAATTTTTCCTTTAGAGATTTTTTTTAATAAGAATGACATGTTAATGTTATGTTAATATGCAATTCACGAAGCATTTGCAGGTGTATTTTGGCAACTATCCTGTAAGAAAATAAATGATTTAACAGTAATTTGAGGACATCATTAAGACTGTGGGTGACTGTCATTTCATTAGACTCTGGAGGATGGTACAGTCACACCAATTATTCCCTTTCATTTGGATCTGTTTACTAGATCAACTGTACCACTTTCACCAAAGAAGTAAAAAAAGCAGTAAAGTCAAATTTAGTAGCTTTAAATTTCTGCACCTTGTAAAACACCTAGTGACAAAAACACGGAATAAACACCACAACATTTTGCCCTAGCCATCATGGTTATCTTCAAAATATGAAGAATCTTTGGAGAGTCCAACATAAAATTTGCTTCCAAGTCATTAACATTATAAGACTTATGGCTCAGGCACATCAGCGTATTCTTCATTGCTGAAGATGCTGGGTTTAGAAATTCCCTTTCATAATAATAAATACAATGAAATGTATGAAAAGGACAGTCAAATGCATGAGGAAAGAAAGCTGTGTGACACAAAACAGGCGGGGTTTAATAAATAGTAGGTAAAAGTAAGAGACTTGGAATACGGCATGTCTGACTAGTAACATGAAAACATATACAATCATGAAAATATAATTCAGGAAAATAAGCAATATAATGAAGTTAGTAGTGAAGGTCAAGAAATGTTAATTAACTTCAATATTACCTAAATTCTATTTTCGTACCATCAAACAATTATTAGAGAATAATTTCACAGTGGTCCTTTTTTATGTTATATATGATGCTAACTCCTTAAAGATGATCCTGTGAAAAATATTTGAATAAACCAACTATTAAAAAGAGTTGTCAGAAAATTCCTGGAAGCTGTATAAGCACTTTGTCACTAGAAAAGTCAGAGCTCATGAAAGCTTTTTACTGTGTTGTTGCAAAGTGATATTGGTAAAATCTGGACACACTGGTATTTCCAATAAAATAGTGGCATAGACCCTTGCTATGCTACTTTACAGTACATCCTAATACAGTCATTCCATTTTTAAAATTTTTCTGTGATTTTTTTCATAAAGTAAAATGTTTGTTTATAATGAAACTGCTGCTCCTATTAGAAATAAAAAATATACTTCATGATACTTGCAATGAAGTGTATATATATTCCAATGAAATATATATATGTGTGTGTATGTATGTATATATATATATATATATATATATATATATATATAATAGATATATATCATACATATGTCTGCTTCAGGTATATGATAAAGATATAGCCAGGCTTTGTAAAATTAATTCTTAAACAAAATATTTACTTGCTTTTCATTATACTGCTCAAAATCTACAAGACTTTAAAATTAGGGAAATATTCCATTAAGACAAGATAGATTATACAGTTGAGCAATATTTCTGAGAAAAGACAAAAATCTATGCCTCTAAATTATACTGACAAATATGACTTTCTGAAAGGAAAAATAGTATGATTTTTTTCTAACAGATGGTGTTACCCTCATGTGGAAGACCTTATAAAATGTTACATATCTCAGAAAACCTACTATACTCCCGACCCTAGAGAAGAAATTGAAAATGCATGTGCAGTGATGTCAGTGGACTAGGATTACAAAACAGCAGTTCACCAGACTAATCAGTATCTGGAAGCTGATGGCCACCATTTTGAATACCTCTTGTAATGGCAGAGGCCAAGGAAACTAGAATTAATCTCATGACATCTCAATAAATTTAGCATTAAAATATTTACCCAAGTTTTTCTTTTCCTGAAGTCTGTATTCATTTCGTAGCAGACTCTGCATTTCATACTACACAAGCTTAAAGCATCGATGTTTAAGTAGATGACATAAACATGCATCAGTATATAAATATGCACACTACCACCACCAAATGTTTAATGCATTATATTTTAATTTTGAAAATAATAAATGTGATTTTAGAAAATTAGTTGTAAAAGTGTTCTTGAAAATGAATCATTTTATATATATCCCTTTAAAAAAATCACAGATTCTTCCTCTTTAAGCAAAATAATCCAACAAATAAAAATATACAATTATTATTTAAGGTAGCATCTATTTCCTGAGAATATGAAATTTTCATAATTTTGTGTTTTACCTGGACTGTTAATAAATCTGGTTGGCCTACTGAGTCTTTATTATCTCCGTGATGCAATACAAACTGAGTACAACATCAACCTTGTATTTTTTCATAAGTACACTACTCTAGAATTCAGGAGATTGTACTTTAAAGTCCAATAAGTAGACTGAGTTCTGCCTTCTTTTCCTCTTTGCTTCATTTCACTTTTAGCATCTAAGCACATACTGTACTACTAGTACTAAAAGCCATATTATATAAGGTAAGGGAATACTATATTAGGCATAGAGAGGACTTTACATGATTTACAGAATTCAATTTTTATGTTATGGGGAATAAGTTCATATTCTACTTAGCTATTTAATAAATTTTAACTCTCCATAGTGAACTTGCACTTGGTAAGTGATATTTGCATATGAGAACTGAAAGT